ATTTAGATACAGGTGCATTGATAAAGTTAATTGAACAAAGTTTTTAATTTGCTCCGTAAATGGAAATGAGTTGCCGAAGTAGATATTATGGCATAAATTAATTCACGATAAGATAGTTATATGTATAAAGAAATACATCATGACATTCGTGACATGAATACTAAATTATATTAAATTGAAGATCAATGAATACCAAGAAACTTTATTATCATTTTTTGGATGATATAAATTGCAAAAACTATAAATTTCAAGCGAGCAGAGGATAATTTGAAAAATTTTAAACTCAATTTAATTTCCATAACGTTGTAAATCAGCTAAGAATAGAGTCATACTTTTATTATGTGCAAATTCAAGTGGAGACTTTATTACAAAGCCAATGTTGGTATACCGGGCAGCTAATCCACGTGCTTAATAGAACAACGGCATCTGCCTTTATAATGTATTAGTGAGTTAATAGAAAAGCTTAAATTCTAAAAATTTACTTCCTCATCCAGTTGCTGTTTTCTAGTTAGGTCATTTATATGTACAAAATCCTTGTTGCTTTTTTTAAATCAAGGTGTTATAACTGATTTTTTAAGATATTACATCCTGCAAAAGCTTAGTTTTCTACAGGAGATATTAGAAATCAGTTTTCTCTCAATAAATGATGTTGTGAGGAAATTGATTCCGTTATCAGTTTTTCAAAGTTATGTCTCTCTAATTTTTTTAGAGCGATTTAAAGGAATTATATATTTAAAAGGAGGAAAGTATCCTTTCCTGTGGCTGGTGCGTATTCCACACAGGACGTCGCGCCTTTATTGTACCTACAAAAAAAATAAAGGCGCGACGTCCAGTCTGGAACAACAATTACCAAATATCCGTCTTTGGCCGAGTATTAAAAACCTATTACTTAGTACTCCACCGTTCACAGGAATTATATATCTAATTCTCATTATTATATCTCTTTTAAGTGTTGGACACTGCAGATAATAATCATGTTCAACCCCAATAGGACTTTTTTCATTGAATACAACTTTATTTATATCAGGTTTGTCTTTAGCAACCTCATTGTAACAATCCAATACGTTATATAAAATCTCTTATTGCAGTTTCGTCTAGTTTTCTCCTCTTCGCTTGTAATTCATCACCACCTTCATTACTAACAGAACTGTCGCTGTTATCACTTTTGATTATTAATTAAAGTATCCTCTTTTTAATGCAAAAAGCCGTTTTGAAAAATCACTTCTAGTTCTTGAGAAATAAAGTTTTGAAATGATCGAAAATTTTTTCGAATTTTGCAATTTTCGCCAATTAAGTTTTAAAAATTCGTATAAAATCCATTTCNTAAAAATTTACTTCCTCATCCAGTTGCTGTTTTCTAGTTAGGTCATTTATATGTACAAAATCCTTGTTGCTTTTTTTAAATCAACACCTTGATAACTGATTTTTTAAGATATTACATCCTGCAAAAGCTTAGTTTTCTACAGGAGATATTAGAAATTAGTTTTTTTTCTCAATAAATGATGTTGTGAGGAAATTGATTCCGTTATCAGTTTATCAAAGTTATGTCTCTCTATTTTTTTAGAGCGATTTAAGGGAATTATATTTTTCCAAATGATTACTAATGGTGGAAAGGATGTCCGGCCATTTTTTAAAATCCGGCCGGATACCGGATAGTAACCAAATATCCGGCTTTAGCCGGGTATTAAAAACCTATTACTTAGTACTCCACCATTCACAGGAATTATATATCTCTAGTTCTCATTATTATATCTCTTTTAGGTGTTGGACACTGCAGATAATAATCAAGTTCAACCCCAATAGGACTTACTTCATTGAATACAACTTTATTTATATCAGGTTTGTCTTTAGCAACCTCATTGTAATAATCCCAATACGATATATAAAATCTCTTGTTGCAGTTTCATCTAGTTTTCTTCTCTTCGCTTGTAATTCATCACCACATTCATTGCTAACAGAACTTTCTCTGTTATCACTTTTGATTATTAATTAAAGTATCCTCTTTTTAATGCAACAAGCCGTTTTGAAAAATCACTTCTAGTTCTTGAGAAATAAAGTTTTGAAATGATCAAAAATTTTTTCAAATTTTGCAATTTTCGACAATTAAGTTTTAAAAAATCGTATAAAATCCATTTCTTGCAATATGAGTATGAAAATTTCTCAAAGTATTAATAAGAGTGTCCTCTTTCCAATGAACCCAGACGTTTTGAAAAATAACTTTTAGTTTTTGAGAAAACAATATTTGAAGTTTTGATAAAATTTTCGATGTTGCAATTTTCATCGATAACTT